ATGTTCAAGTGGAATGTGATTCAAAAGAAATTATAAAGAATATAATTATTAAAAATTAAAAGTAAAAATCATCATTTTCGAATCATGGAATTCAGATTGACATTTTTATATCAAAATTATACATAATTAAAATTTCCAATTAATACTTAATTTTTAATATTTAATTTTTAGAAATGAATGATAATGAAATTTTAAGCGAGAAATTTAAAATATAAATCGATGGCAATTATCAAATTATAACAACGATGCATTTACATTTGACAATCTTTTAAATAAATTTTTTATTTTATTCTAAATAAAAAGATATATGGATACTAACATAAAGATCAAACTATAGATCTCCAGCTAATAATCATCAACAATCGATGTAAAATTTATCAAAATGTCTTCTTGCATGTCTTACATGACTAGATCGTCATTTCATTTAACACTAGCATAAAGAGTGATGTATTGTGTATTGTGTACTAGTGATAGAATCGATCATATCGCAAGGCTCGAATATTGACAAACAAGATTTATATTTTATTAAGTATTTTGGAAAAAAAGAAACGATACTTTCAAATAGATTCGAAATTCGAATCCTCTATGAATATTGTACTTTATGAACACAGAAATGAAAGATGTAGTTCAAAGTAGAATCGACCATTGATCGATGAGTATCTTATTGGAAATTTTACATTTATTTAAAATTAATTTTCTTAATTATTTTTGAAAATAATTGTTGTAAAAGAATTATATGTTATCTTACAAAATAACATTTCTTTTTTAATTTTCTTAGAAATAATTTACATTCTCACATACGTTTTTAACAATGTATATTATCACAAATCAAATATCGTTTTTCAATAGTTACAAGTAGAAAAATTAAAATAAAATTTTGTTTACTATTTATGCTTTTGAAATTTTTTTATGACTATTCAATAAAATATATCTGCTTTCCTCATAATTAGATTATTTATAAAACGTTTCTAATATCGAAATATATATAAATAGATTTTCAAGTACTTATTCTTAAAATTAGGATTGGTTATTAAATTTAGCTTTACAAATTTTGATATAAAAATAACATTCTTCGTGTAAATCACGAAAAATAGTAGCAAGCCTCCATTATATTTTCAAATTTATGGCTACGTTATATTCAATGGAAGAGAGAAAGAAAAATGAATTTCTAATATTTTGATGTTTGCCAATACGAATTCAATAAAAATTATATAAAATCAAAGAATATTTATTTACTATTGATTTATATACTAAATAAAAATACGATCATCGAGTGAATAATCTTTTAATAATTAAACAATGAACGATTTAAAATTTTTTGAAGATTAATTATGAGCATGATCTCTTATAATATACATCAAGATGAAGATCATTCCCATAAATTATGTATTTATGATATATAGAGTGGTTCACAAATATTGATTTTGTTTTATATCATTGTTATTATTTATAGCAATTTTCAAATAGAGTTAAATGGTTTTAAAAAAGAATATATTATTAATTCTTTTATAGGTTTTTATAGAAAATGCAATAAAGGACATGTGAAGATCATTAATATTTTTTTAAGTGGAATTATATATTTTTTTATTACACCAGTTGATACAACTTGATATTCTCTAGAAAAAAAAAAAGGATTAATCTACTTGTGTGTAAAAATCATTAGTTCAGAAGATATTTTATCTCGAAATTCATAAAACTTATCACATGAAAGACAAGGAAAACGCGAAGAGATATTTTTATGTTCATATTCTTCTTGTATACATTAATTTGTCTATATAAAACGATGATGATAAATTGAATGATAAAAATATGATTTTACTTTAAAACTTTTTACAAAACTTCAAGTTAAGATATCTTCTAAATTAATGATTTTTTGACGCAAATAGAATTTTTTTAAAAAATATGAAGTTATGTATCAGTATGATGCAGTCAAAAAACACATGATCCCATTTAAAAAAAATGTTAATCACTTTCATACGTCCTCTATGCAATCATTTACGAAAGAATTATTAATATCAGAATATATTTTTTCTGAAACCATTCAATTTCGTCTGAAACATTTTTTGTTGTATGAATGCATGAAAATTGAAATGGTAATATCTGGTAAATTATCCTTTATCTTGAAAATTAAAGCCAATCAGCAATCATAAGAAAAAATTATTTAAAATTATTCTTAATGTATTTTAAATCATTAAAATCAATGTTGTGTGATTTTTATTTCCAATAATTATTCACACTATTATAAAATGAAAAGATAAACATTTATACATCCAGCAATCACGTAATAAACATACAATAATATGCATTGATATAATAAACGGACACTTATTTGCGTGAGATTATTGATCAATATCTGTGTAATGTACATTTACTCATATTATTAAATCAATTGTTTTTTATATTATCATACATATTAGTAGATACATAAATTTAATTTAAATAATGCACAATAAACACATTTTTTTGCACAATAAATGACTCAAATTAAATAAAAGATTAATCAAAAAAATATTCAGACACATGATCAATTCACATATGTCTATAAATACCCTATAAATACTGTTTATATCTATGAATATTGTATATACCAATGATAAAATGAACTATATATGACTTATTACAGTAACTTATTATTTTTATATTATGCAAAATCTATCTTTTTTAAGTAAATAAAGTTTTTATTAATTATAAAGAGTATTCAAATACAAATATGTATGTTAGAAAACAATCAATTTAGTAATATTAAAATAAACAAATACAATAATATACATACAATCCAATAAAATTATAATTATTCAAAAATATATAAATTATTTCAAAAGATTGAAAAAAAATTTCCTTTTATAAAATGAAAAAGTTTAAACTAGTTAAATGTAGATGGAAGAATAAATAATAGGTGGCTGTAACATAGAAAACCAAAAATCAAAATAAATTTTCTTTTCTTTTTAGTAAAATTCTTTTTATTTAGATATTTAAAAAAATATCTTGTAAAATTTCTAAGAAAAAAACATTATTATTAGCAACTTTTTTTTAAAATATTAGAATAATATATCAGAATTAATCAGAATAATAAAAGTTTAATGAAAACAAATTATTTTAAAGTAAAGTTAGAAAAGAATAAAATTACTATTAAATAGATACTAGTTTTATTTGATAAAAAAAAATTCTTATTTTTATATTTTATAAATTCTGTTCCAATTAATATTTTTATTTTCAAGAATTTCTTTTTACTTGTCCTCACCAGAATTCATAATATGAGATTCATGTTATAAATTGAACTTTTAAAGTAGCATAATTAGTTAAATAATGTGTGTATATATATATATAAGACATAATGAAATATACAATCATAAGATCAACAATTAGCAAAGGAAAAATATTTCAAAGAATTTTACTAAGTGCAAAAACGTAATTTTGCATTACATTTGGAGAAAGTAAATATAAAAATTTTGTGAATTTTCTTAATCAAAAAATTAAGATCATCATTATCATTTTCAACATTTTTGATACTTTTAATGAAATTTAATAGCCTGAATGATATTTAATAATAATCTTTATTAATTATTGAAATATATGATATAATATATAAATATATATTAATAATTTTATTAATTTTCTCCTTTATTTTGATTATAATTGTTTTATTATATTTTGATTTTGACAATATAATAAATATTCACAATTTTTTTTTAAATCAATTAATGTGGTGATGTACAACTTAAATAAACTCAAAAAATTTTCAATTCAATTCAAACACGAAAAAAATAATAAAAATTTTTTATAAATCTATATATCTATCAAAATAATTTATCAATAATGTATTTAATTGATTCAAACATTTCTCTTACTTTTATTTTATTTTTTTCATAAAGATAATTTTTCTTCAACTCTTGCTTCGAAAATAACTCAATAAGGATTCATAATAATAACAAAAATAACGAAATATATGTTATTGTCCCCACACACACTAATGCGAAACAAGACTGTTCCAATTGAATTTCAAATCATAAAATTTCAAATCATTTGATTGGTTCAATTATATTTTTTCAATTATGTGATTCGAAACTTCTTATTATTTAATTACTTTATCACTTTATTTAAATTTAATACATTATCATTGTAATCACGATAATATAATTGAAATACATTGAAATTCAAATATAATCAAATTATAGCTCACAACTTCAATGTTTTTTTTCTTAATGAGTCGTATCACGTGATTGCCATTATTTTTTCCTTGTAATATACAGATAGATATATTATAATCTTAACACTAGAACAATCAAAATTATTTATTTTATGATTATTGAGAATAAAATGAAAATATTTTTAACAAAATTAATATTGTAATTTATTTTCATAACATTACTTTAATTACAATCATTCTTATATAAAATAGATGGTTAGATAGATGTAGACAGATTGTTCTAATTTAATATACTGTATTTTCCTCTAACATACATAATATAATACGTATAATATGTAAATTATAATTGTATTATAATAATACAATAAATATTTTAAATAATAGATATATATTTTATTATTTAAATACACATGTTTAAATTTCGAGAGAAATAAGACAAACAACTATTCCCGTTCAGATACTTTCCTGATTACTTAATTTCTTCATCTTTCATCATCTCATCACTTTCGCTTTAATCAACATTCCTTGATTCCTAATTCCCAAGTCGTCATTCGATTGCGTTTTCTTATACAATCACGAATGAACATGGTAGCTTGATCGAATAAGAAATCCGAATTAAAAATATAATTCTAATAAATGTAATGTACTTCCTAATTAATTATAACATATCGTGGAAATAATTCAATATTGTTATAATAATTCTGCAACAACACTCTGTGGCGCAAAGCAATTCGCAATTGCTATTTCGAGACGGAAATAGCTGGGTCGAGTTCGTCTAAAATTATTCGATTGGATAGAACGAAATCTCGTTTACCGCTTAGTACGCTTCCGTGGCGGTGTCTCTTAACCGCAATCGATCAATCCGCTGTATCGATTCAATGCCATCGATATGGCGGAATCGGAGCGGTTTTACAAAACTCTGTGCTCATTGGAGACCGTCAGATCCGAGAAAAAAGGTTTCTTCCGGGATTTCAGCGAGGACGTGGCACGAGTCGCCGGGGAACAGTGGATCTCAAAAGTGTTCGGTCGACTGACCACCGACGAGGAACGAGTTCGAACTATTTTCACAGATGGAAAGATAAAGGACACTGTGCTGGAAACGTTGAATCGCACGGAGATCCTTTATCGCGACAAGGATGCAATGGCGTCTAGAGCGAGAAGGCTCGAAGGATTCGAAGCCTTGGCAGCGGAGGAAAAGAGGAAGGCGTTGTTACTGTTCAGTCAAGCCATTCTTCGAGCACCCCTTCCAGGTTTTTTTTTTTTTCTTTTTTAAAAGATAATTAATTAACGACCGATGTTTAATTAAACTTTTACCAACTGCGCGATTAATGGAAGGAATTAAAGTTAGGTTATGTTTATCTGGGTTTATCTGTATCTTTGTGGTTTTGTGTATATGTTTCTCTTTATATATCTAGGTACTTTGAATGAAAAGGTTCATTAAATTAATTATAAATTAATGTTTAATTAGGAAATGTTATCTTTGTTTGAAACAGTATAATTTTTTATTCAAGAGTTTGAATTGGAACTAATATGGGATTTTAATTCTTTTGAACATATTGATTATAATATTTAATAAATTTAATATTATTATTATCTTTGTTATTAACAGTTGTATATTTATATTTATATCTATTAATATATATAAGATAAATATTTATACAAAAATTATAATTGTTTTTGCTTCAGATATATGTAAATATAATATATATCTACGAAATGAAAAACATTTATTCAAATAACATGAATTAGAAAATCGGATTCCATAGTACATAAAGTTTTACATTATCAATAAATTAATATTATAAACTATTAAAATTTCTTATTAGAAATAATAAATAAATATATTATCGAATTAGTCTATTAAAAACGACGAATAATCATCTACATAAAAAATGGAAAAAAATTAATACAAAGAAAAGATTTATTAAGAAAAAATTTTTGAAGTATTTAAATAATTTTCTTTTAATTTCATATTATTATTTTTTTTTCTGATACAAACATTTGTATTGTAAAATTATTGTAAAATTATATTAAACATCGCTTTAATATTAATTTTATTGAAAGATTTATCAATTTATTAATTTTTTTCTTTACGATTACTTATTTAATGTTAGAATCAATATTGGTATCAATATACAAATTTTTACTGTCGATATAAATAAAATTTTAAATAAGTATAATCTTTCTCGTGATTTTTCATATCCAAATACTTATTCGAAAATTCATGATACATTAGACAAGACTCGGATACATTTGAAGATTCCTATATCAATCTGCCAAAAGTATCGAAATTATTCAGTATCGAATCTTTAAATATTTAACGAATATATATAAAAATCAAAGAATCGAAAAAAAAA